CTGTCATAATTCATATTCTTCTATATCCTCCATTGTATCTCTTATTTTTCTATATATTTTCTAGGATATAGATTGTATCAGAATTATGTCGTTACTTAATTGATTCATTATTCTCTTTTCATTTTTACTGGTATTTGGTATAAAAACCAGTTGGCGTCCAAATCTATCTTCTTTATATATATATATATATATATATATTATATATATATATATATATATATATATATATATATATATATATATATATTTTAGTATCTACCTTTCCTATTTTCTTAATAATCATCATTTTTATCTTTTACTCAAGTTTCTAAAGAGTGAATTTTATTTTCATCTCTATTTCTGTTACTTTGGAACGAGAGGTCCCATCTTTATTCTTTGTCGACATTGCTCCTTCCCATTCGATACAAAAGTCGATATAAAGACTTCTATTTTCTAAAAATGTCGATTTTCTTCATGACTTCTCTAAGAGTAGAATAACCAATTGTTGTGTCGTCTCCAGATTTGGAGGTAAGTGTATAATATATTTTATCGATTTCCTAATTCCACCTGTTGTATAAAAATCTTTTTATAATTTTAACTTTAAAATTCTAAGCTCATTATTTGTGAATGACATGTAAGTAGGTACATATTTTGTGGATTTCTTTGTTTTTTATTTTATATAAAAAACTAGCGATAAGAAATATATAGTTTCTTTAATATAGTATGTAAAAGTTTTACGAATATTTTTATAGTTTTAAATATGAATTTTAAATCCATAATATCTTTTGATTTTAATAATAATTAACTTTTGACAAACTACCTATCTATATAGCAATGTTTCTAAATTATCTAGCTTTTCAATAAATATATCTTGTCATTTTTTTTAATTAATATTAGAATATTTCAGTTTTAAAAAAGTAATTACCATTTGCATTAAAGTTATATCCTTACTTTTACTTATTTGCCTATGATAAGTGCATAAATAAGAATTGTTTCTCGACTTGCTTGGGTGAATAATGATAAAATTTTGTTAAATTTGATTGGTCACCTTATTCATCCCCCAAGCAAGGTCTCTCATTTTGGTTTCACCATTTTCTAAAGCAAGGTGTGTTTTTCTTCATTTTAGTCAACCTCCGGGATACATTTCTCAGGTGCGGGTCAAATTCTATTACCATCCAGAAGACCAACCGGCCTGAGAATGGAACCATTATTCCAATAGGAGAGTTGACTCCGAGACAAGGAAATCCAAAACTACCAACATGGCTTGCTAACAACCAGAGCAGAAAAGACCAGGATAAAGCTTAGGATTTGGTGACAAAAATTGTTCTTTCATATACCTAATGTAACACTGTAGCAAGAAGTCGAATAATTTTTATTTAAATTCAATACGATATTTAACATTTATTTTTCTGTTTTTTTTTTTATATTTAATAAACATGTGTTAATTTAACTGTGTATTGTTTCTTCTTTTTACTTGTTTGTGTGTGTTGCTCCAGAGTAGGCCATATTCACGTCCTGAGTGAGCTAGCCAGGGAGTGTTTCGTATAACGTCTAATGTAGCAATTTTGTAATTGATACATTAGGGGTTATGACGTTAAAAATTGGTCCCAACGAGAAACGATTTGTCACTCCAACGTTGTTAGTGATGTTAGTCAGGTTGTAGCAGCAAACTAGGGTTTGCGGTTACAGGTTGACAACAGCAGCTCAACGTTGGGATGTTACAAATTGAGCCTCGAAGGGTTACAAATTGGCACCCAATGAATATTTGTTGGCACGTCATAGATTGACGTCCAAGGAATGTTCGTTGGAACGTTACAATATATATGTTATTATATATATATATATATATATATATATATAGGTATATATACATATATATATATATATATTATATATATATATATCATATATATATATATATATTATATATATATATATATATATATATATATATATATATATATATATATATATAGTAAGTATACTTATCCATAATTTCTCAATAATTTATCCATAATCCTAATCCATACATTTTTAAAATTAAAATCTGCTTATTTGAAATTAATCAATACACCCAAAAAATACAATTGATGTGGATCAAAGCATATTGATGAGTTACATATGATCAACACGTAGACCAGTTAGCTAAAAATTCCATCATTGTTATTCTTTCATTATAGGGAGTAACTTTAGAGGCATACGGTTGTAGTGTTTTTTTAATCATGATTCCTACACCATTTTTGTACTGCTAGCCGGATAATAAAGAACCATGTCGTTATATTAGTATTGCCCAGCACTGTGCCATCTTATTTCGGTGACGCCAAGTATCTCTAATTCAAGTCTGCTAATTTCTAGTGCTACTGCGGTGAGTTATTCAGCTATATACAATTTATATATTTTATTTTGCATTTTCGCCCGAAAATTACCCGCATCCATCTCCCATTTAAGGGATGCTAGGCACTCGGGCCGCTTTGTTTTGACTCTCCATTAGTGATTTTTCTTAAGATATTCTTAGGAATCTTTAATGACGTGGTTTCATCTTGCCTTCTGCATTCTTATGCCGTTGACCATTCATGGTTTATCCACCTTTCAGACCACTTTGTCAATCTCAAGATAAGAGAGTGGCGTTTCACTTACCAGCTGATCCGCCTGAAGCTGTTGACCAGTAAGCTTGCTTCCTCGAATTCTCTGACCTCACCTTCCATTAGGGTTGGTTATCTAATCTTCAGTATGGTTGATAAGGTTACCAGGGTTTACTTGTAAAACCATGATCATACTTTTTGAAAGTATGGATAGGAATTGTGTAGGAGAGACTTGAGGTGCTATCTGGAAGCAACGTCTTATGATGCGCATCACTACCCCATTTGGACTTTAATATTACTATGTAGGTGTTGTACCCCAGTGTGTCGTACCATCCAGTTTAAGTTGGTTATATCTTCACATCTGAAAAAGCCATAGTTGTGGGTCAAAGGTATCGTGTATAAATAAACAACGCTGGTAATTTATAAAAGAATATATTTTTAATTAATTTTATTTTACATAATATTGGATTACCCTCAGCAAAAAGTATCAATTCTCCAAAAAATTTAAACATATTAAAACAATAATGTGTAAATAATTTCTTATATACAAATTTCCCATCAGTATAGTATTTATTTTTAGATTATACTACTTAGTCGAAAGCGAATCATTTTTATTCGTTTATAAAATATCTTCCATAACAAATCGTAGAGACTACTCTGCCATACTCTACAAATATAACTAAATTTGATTTTAAGCGGCAGTTTTTATAAAAAAAAACGCTGCTGTTAATATTGCTTTGTTTATTTTAGAATGCTCCGTTTAGTAGATTGGAGATAAGAAAGAAAATTAATCAGCATTTTTTTTTTTGTATAATTGTAATGATTTTCAACTAAAGTGTTATAGCAAGCTTTTGTTTTATTTTAAAAAGATCTTTACGTTTGTGTTAAAATTGTGAAAACCACCGACAGTAATAATTATTTTCAGTTGTTTCATTGCTGCAAACCTTATTTTTAACTGAAATTATTCTTTATTTTTAACAAAGCCAAAGTATTATATACTTTGTTCTTTTATTAAAACCTATATCAACTTGACAAATAAAACAGGAGATTGGTGTACAGGGACAAATTGAATTTTTTGCAATTATTTCCGGAAATATCAGTCATTCAGCAAACACTATGACATTCAGATAATTTATAACAGCAGCACAATTTTTAGGAGAGCTTTTTGCACGTGCTGGATTCAAATGGAAAATGGAAATTGGGCTAAAAGTTTTCATTATTTTTTTCGTGCGAAATAAAGCTGCTTTATTTGACAACGTTATTTTTACACTTTTATAAATAATGATATTTTAATGTGCATGCATGGTTTTAAAAGATTTGCTTTTTGTAAAGTGAATAATATGCAAAAGTTTTAATTTGTGTGGTTTTCTATTCTGATTTTCTAGTCTGATTCTATGTTTCTTTAACGGTAAAGTACAACAATAACGTCAAATACAAAAAACCTGTGTCCTACCTACATGAAAAGATGTCGAAGGGATTAAATTTTTAATCCGTGGATCTATATCCGGTCTGTAAAAAATATTTGTTAAATATTGTTTATAAATATATAGTAAAAACAAATCGACCAAATAATATACGGAAACAATTATTTAAAACTATGTTTTAACCTTCACAAAATGACGTATTCCTTTCCATATAAAAGAATATTTAATTATGTCTCATAGACGAATTTTAGTATTTTGTATTTCCTACTTTTATTTTTTTTAGATTAATTTTTGACATACCCACCTGTTGTTTGTCGTTCGGACAAACCTAATCCGGACATGTACGAAGTCACTATTTAAATGAGAATAAGCCACAATTAAAGATTAAAGTAAGCTTATTGACGTTTCAATTTCCACTTTGGAAATCGTTTTTTTTTTTAATTGGTGAAAAATTTTTTTTCATATTTAATTTTATCTGACCCATTTATATTGACAATTTAGACATACATTATATATTTTTAAAGTAGACAACTTTAAAATGATATTGCCAATATTGTTTACTTGCGTTTCTAGGTGACTTTGTTGTTAAAATATGCGTAAGTGTTAACAAAAAAGATGGCAAAATTTTTTTGACCAATTTTAATATTTTGGGGTTCCTCAAGACCCTTAAATTTCGGAATTTCACCGATTTTCCGATTAAATTGTCATAATAAAGATATTAATAAAAATAATAGCATTTTTAAGCTGTCATAACGGAAAAAAGATACATTTTTTCACTCAAAATAATATATTAAAACATATGTTTTCTACTACCAGGGCTTCTGGTTCCTCAAACATATTTAATTTTGCAAAAATTACTTGTTAATTCCTAAAGTGACGCCGCCACTGGTAGCAGGCCATCGCGCCGTCTTCGCTGCGCATATCACAACTTACTTGTATTAACTTGTTTAAGTGTTTTACGCCTAGGTTTAGTTGTGTGTGAAATATTAACGTCCTCGCAGGTGAGAAAATAATAATGGCAACTAGAAGTAAAGACAAGTGTGTTGTTTTTGGACATCCAAAATTATTGAATGATAGAATGTTGCCAACGTTTAACGATGTTATGTGCCATTATTTGTTTGTACAACATGACTTAAAGGAAAAATTTGCCGGTAGTGAGATTTTAAAACAAACGGTGAAAAAAATTGAAGAAATTTGGCATAAAGCTTCAATTCCTATAGTGAGTAAAAATCGAATATGGGACAAAATCAAAAAGTTTCACCAACGTTACAAACTTTTTCAGAGAAATCTAAAGAGTAGAAAGAATACTCAGACGACTAATCTTAAATTAGAGTCATTTAAAGAAGAGACCTCTAAGTTATTTGATATAGCCGCTTACAAGTGCGAGTTCCAAACATGTAAGTGTGAAAAATCAAAAAAAGTACCCCAAAGAGAACAAAACTTTCTTGCTGACCAAAGAACTAAGAGACTAATGGCTACTGGAACAGTAGACATAAAAGTTAGTACAAAGATTGCAAAAAATCAGATCAGAAAAACTTGTTTCCTTAAAGAAGAAGATTCAAAACCTGGATGTAGTTATTTAGATGTACAGGAAAACTTTTTAGAATTCAGTTCTAGTGATGAAGACAATGAAGAGGCCGACGTTGAATTTGATAGCAGTTTTGATAAATCTCTAGGTAAGTTTACTCTCGATTTTACCAAACCATGTGTAAAAACATTGATATTGATTTTATTGTTTAGGTGAAATAAATTCAAAAACTACGACCTTAACAAGAAGAAATCTGAAATTTGAACCGGTAGCCTCTACCCTTAGCCAAGAAGAGGAAGACGATATTCCTGGTAAAAGATCAGATCCAGGTCCAGATGATGTCTCGGGTAAGTTTAGGTTATAATTTGTTTGAATCGTGTACCTAAGTATAAACATGAAAAATTTTCTTTTTAGACAAATCAAGTCTGAAAAATAAAAGTTTATCACAAATGAGACTAAAGTTACCATCAGTGGCACTTGCATGTGACAGAACTGGGGTGTCCGATCGTGCAGCAGCTATAATAGTTAATGCTGTTTTGGAAGACACGGGTGTTATATCAAAAGGAAATGCAACAATGACAATAGACAGAATGAAAATCAGAAGATCCAGGATATCACAACGAGAACTTTGTATGGCCAAACCCACGGAAACACCTGCTATTATAGGATTATTCTTTGACGGCAGAAAGGATCGAACACAAATTTATGAAACAACTGCAAATAAACGCCGGTGTATTACAGAAGAACATATATCTCTTGTTAGTGAACCAGGTTCTCAATATATAGGACACGTCGTTCCAGAAGGTAGTTCAGCATTAAATATCAAAGCATCAATTATAGTTTATTTACGCCAGAATTTTAATTTAAATGACTTAGTTGCTGTTGGATCAGATGGAACGGTAGTAAATACCGGAGCAAAGAACGGGGTAATTCGTTTGTTAGAGAAAGAACTAAAGCGTCCCCTGCAATGGCTTATTTGCTTATTTCATTTTAATGAGCTTCCCCTGCGGCATCTGTTTAAAGAAATTGATGGCGAAACTTCAGGTCCTTGCGGACACAAAGGTTCAATTGGGAAAAAACTGGAATCCTGCGAAAATCTTCCAGTAAAACAGTATAAAAGAATAGAATCAGATCTACCACAGCTAAATCGCAGCGGGTCTGATTTAAGTACTGATCAACAGTATTTATTGGACATAATGCAATCAGTTGAAACTGGTAACGTATCTGCTTCTTTGGCCTCAAGAAATCCAGGGAAACTGTCACATGCTAGATGGCTTACAACAGCTAACCGAATTATGAGGCTTTACGTAGCAACCGAAGTTCCAGATGAAAGTCTTTTTCTGTTGGCAAGTTACATTTCCAAAGTTTATGCCCCCTTTTGGTTCAGAGTGAAACTTCGGCCATCATGTACTGAAGGATCAAGACACTTATTCCAATTAATCAAATCATGTAGCACACTACCTGAAATGGTTAAAACAATTATATATCCCGTTATCCAACGTATTGCATTTTTCGCTCATCCGGAGAATATATTGTTGTCAATGCTTACGGATGAAGATCTGAAATACAAAGAACTTGGCATACGACGTATTCTAAAGGCGAGGAGGGAACGTAGACAAACTATACGGGAGTTTAATATCCCTGTGCTACGTTTTGATGCCGACCATTATTCGGAGATGATATCTTGGTACAAATTAAGCGCTACTGAACCACCACTGACAATGAAGATGGATATTAATCTTGATTTAATATCTAGTATAAATACTTCTGATTTTCCATTATTACCTAGTAATACTCAAGCAGTAGAACGTTGCGTTCGCTTAGTAACTGAAGCGTCAGCTGCAGTGTGTGGTCAGAGTAATCGCGATGGGTTTATTAAAAACCGGATTCAGTCAAGACAAATGTTGCCATATTTTGAAAAAAAATCTGACTATTTTAAAAATAGAAATGAATAATGTTAATCAGTTTAGTTACCTACTAGATCATTTTTGAGTTATTGTTTTGTTTTTCATTATTCTGAACTTAAAGTTAATAAAAATGTTATTTAACTAAATACCGTCTTTTTGTTCCAGTTTGCTATTTTTCAGGTCACTTGAGGATGCATTAAATGTTAAAATTTCAATTTGAGAATTGTTAGGTTATTTCCTACAATCTTAAGCAGCATAATAAAATATGTGTCATGAATGTCTTACAAAAATTTAAAAAATAATAAAAATTATCTTAGAGGCTGAAAGTTCATATATTCTCAAATATGTCATCCTCTTGAGGAACCTCAGGATATAAAGTCACCTGTTTTATTTTTTGTATACTTGGTTTTGATTGTAAGAAGCATATTTTTTCAACTATGACACAACGCTATTCAACTTTTTTTTATTTTCGTTCATTTTCGTTCCACCCTAATGTACATCAAGGAAGTTTTAAATTCTGTCGTACGTCTATTGCGAGGGGCAGTAGGTGATGAATTTGTGTTTATGCATGACAACGCACCTCCTCATCGAACAGCAGTAGTACAAAATTTTCTGGAAGAAGAAGAAATATCTACATTACAGTGGCCCCTCGAATTCCCCCGACATAAACGTTGTTGAACATGCTTGGAACAGTCTCAAAAGACGCATCAAGAAGCGAAACAATCCCCCTATTACACTTCGAGAGCTAAAAGATGCTGCTCGTGAAGAATGGGAGATAATTCCACAAGCCCAGCTCGACCAGTTTAATTAAAAATTATTTTTTTCTATACTAATTAATTTTTAATTGTACATTGTAAGGTTTTCAGTCCAAGAAAATAAATAATTTTATTGGATATTGTTTATCTGGTTTTGAGATTTATTTAGTATTGTTGAGAATTAAAACAAAATTATGTTTAACTATTCAGAAGAGTTTATATACAAAAATCAATAAAAGATGAAATATTCCTCATTTTTGGACATATTATGAGTATATATAAATTTATATAATATAATCTAGTAAGTGTTTTACAACTTATAAAAACAGTACAAACTATTTTTTAGTTAGGCAAAGCAACCTCCAGAGAGTCGATCCCGATCCGGAGTATTTTTGTCTTACCGGTCTTGTCGATAGGCAGTAAAAGTAAACAGAACCGCACTTACGTATTGTAAAATTTATTATACAAATTACAAAGTCTACTAATGAATGAATGTTCAGAGCAAAGAAAAATAGCACAATGCCTAATCACCAAAGTTATGAATTTAAGACTAAAAATTAACGTGGTTAATAAATATTCAAAAATAAAAAAGAAAATCAGAACAATAGACGAAAAATTAAATAGCTGTGAACAGAAATAAAAACTTAAAATAATTTAATCATGCGGATCATAAATTTCGCTTCAAACAGTGTAGTAGAATTTGTGGGTTTGAAGAACGATTGAAAATAAATGTGGAAATAAAAACAAAACGAGAAATTGAAAACAACACGTGTTCATTGGAAGTCAACAATTATATTAAAAGACAGGAAAGTTAAGAGAAAAGCAAGAAGATAAATCTGTTCAAATTGGATTTTAAGATTAATATTTGACAGTAAAGTTTGTAAATAAAATACAAAAATACAAAATTGAAAATTTTTTAAAAACAACCAAATAACTAGCTTTAACTTACGAGCAAGAAAATAAAAAGGTCATAATAAAGTATTACAGAGAATTACTATATAAAGAAAAAATGAAGTTTTAAATAAAAAGATATAATAATATTGAAAACATTGAACATAAGAAGTATACAAGCAAAGGAAATAGATAACGAGCTTGATAAAGCAATATTCTTTTTATAAAGTTTGCTAACCAGTTGAAGTTGATGACATAATTTTGCTGTTCTTCTTGGACCCTTTCTACGCAATATCATTGCTAATCGCTATTAACAACAATTCATATAGCAAAACTTTAAAATTTCTGTCAGTGTAGTTTTTTGACGTGACGAAAAATATTTCAAAAAAATAGAGTTAAAAGTTATTATATAAATTAACAGAGAAAAGAGTTACTATAAAAAGAGAAATTATGAATGCCTGAATTCCCTGGCAACAAACATGTCTAATGATGTGCAACACATGGTCTATTCTCTATTTAAAATTAAGAGTTTGTAGTATTAGAAAGAAGTTAGTTAACAAATAACGAATGTCTGTAGGGTCACAAGATGGCTCCTTTAAAATAAAAATCTACCTGTCTTAAATGACTATTTCCAAACATCAGCGAAATATAAACTGCGATGCATAAGTTAGGGATGTAGCTAAATATTAAATAAACAATTAGACAACAATCATATATCTGTATAAATCAATTAAGTAACGTATCTTTATCAATAACTAACCTATTATTCATTAAAAAAATAAAAAAACTACTCTGCGTTATTTTTAATATGAAATATTTGGTGAAGTCGATAAAAAGGACGTATCATCTCTTGGTTATCGAAACTTTTACTGTGTTATATATATTTAAGCAAAAAAAAGCGACTTTTTCATTTATTTCAATATTGCGAAAAAACTACAAATTCTGGGTAAAAACATTCAACACAGCGACTTTCTTGAAAATACTTTCTCTTTAAAATGAGATTTTCTAAATTAAAAAATCTTTATAACGAAAAAAAGTATTGCAAATTAAACCCGAAAGTAAGCATGTTTTTTAATTGTTTTTAATTATTAAAATAAACAATAAAAATATTTTAGGCATATTTCATAATGTGTGTTTTTATGTAGGTACTACATTTGCGAAAGATGGTCACAATCGGTCAAGTAGTTTTTTAACAATTATATTTGTTTATGCCATTTGAGAGAACAAAGGTCATTTTCAAATAGATCAATATTTACAATGTTTTTTTGTGTGACTTTCGTTATAAGGTCTCAAATTTTTATGTTTTCTAAAAACTATAATAATTTTAAATTTTTTTAATAAAAGTACTTAATTGATGAAGAATAAAGTACTATTACCGTTATATCGGCAATATCCCTTACGCCGCGCAGTTTAACAACGATCAAGATAAAATCGTCTGCAGTAGATAGGACACGTAGCCCGGGCCTTGGAATCCAACATTATGAAATAGGTTCTAACAGCACAACATATGGGAACGAGACAGGGTAGATTAAAGCTGAAGTAGATAGACAGGGTAAGACAGGATGTTGAGAAGATCGGTGCTGCCAAATGGAAAATTCTAGTTACTATTTTTGTTAAAAATAAGTCATAATTTTGCTTTAAAATTAAGTTTGTTGGACATTTCGATTCCCGCTTCGAAAATCGTTTTTAAAATAATGTTTTATATTTTAAGAACGATTCCAGTTCTGAGAATAGAAACGTAAAATAAATTTAATTTTCTGAGACACATGAGTTAGAGATGGCGGTACTATTTACAATAGATTGATACAAATATTAAAATACGCTAATGACATTGACATAATAGGATGTAGCAAGCAATATAATGAGCAATATTAGTATTTCCACCACCAGAGAAAAAACTCAGTACCTTCTGCTCGATTACATATACAGGCAAAATAACAACAAAAATTGCCAAACACATAAAAAAGAAAGAAATAACACCAGCTTTCCGAACAAATAACAACCTAGGCAAATATATTAAAAATAACAAGAGCCAAATTAAAAAACACTTAAATAGTGGTGTGTACAAACTTCAATGTGGCGACTGCCCAAAAACTTACATCGATCAAACTGATAGAAACTTTGATAAACGAATAGCAGAACATAAAAGGGCTTTCAAGAATAGAAAAACAGATTCGACATACGCACTTCACCTTCTAGATCATAATCATTCTTTTAATGACAAATTTAAAATTCTTCACATTCAAAATAAATGCCTTAAGCTATCCTTGTTAGAATCTATGGAAATCAACAAATTAAAAACACAGATATAATTCTGAATGACCAACTTGAGACAAACAGTTCTCCCTTCCTCAACCTATTTCATTAGAGACTATAAATTTGTAAACCCAAGCCAAAATAGATCACTTGAGAAAGGCAATCAGCCGAAACAGCTGTAGTGATAATATTTAAAATAAATTTTGTGGAAGTTTGAAAACAAAGTTTTCAGTGTTTTATTGTTACATAAATTGTTTTTTGTTATCTAAAAGAAGAGATGGGGATATGTATGACGAGTTTTGATTGGAGGGGATTGAAAAAGGTGGGATGGTGTGTAAGAATGAGACGTTAGCTAGTTTTTTTGAGGGAAAAAGTTGGGCAGTTGGTTTCCAAGGATGCAAGGCGAACAGTCGTTTGTTCTCGGGTGGTTCCCCAAAGGTAGGAAGCAATAGACATTAATGTTTCTGAGTTTTTCGTGGAGTTAGTTTATCTGACAGAAGCTGATCCAGTAAAATATTTTAAGTTATATTTTCTACTTATATTCCAAGAGTCACTGTTCAGGCCAGAACGAGAGATTCAGTTTATCGAGAGGAGAAGTAGCTAGCATAATTTGAACGATACGTGCATTTGAAGGAGATCATTAAAGACGATAGGCTCGCAACAATTTGTTGTAAAATTGTTGATTACCTAGGGGACTGCTAAGAATAGATAGAGTAGGCTACAAGGAACAACTCGACAACTTGGCATCAGACAAATAGTTTTGTGAAGCAATTGTACAAAACAATGTTTACAATTGCTTTAGAAAAGATAGGAATATTTTGATTAGGAGATTTAAAACAACAATTGTGATTTGAGATTTTAATTTATATTGTTTATACCATTAATTTTGAAGGTTCACGTACGTAGAACAAAAGTTTGATAATCATTATATGAGATATTGTTTATTGAAGATATTTGAGTGTGAATTTTATTTCAATATATTTTTATTTTAATATATAATGTTATGTCATATATGTTTTTTATTATTCCGGTATCCTTTGGGCCTTACCTCTCACATATAAAGCATAGGTATTGAAGCACGAGTATAACCCTGAGATAAGAGAATTAAGTAGTGTGATAGAATCATAATCATATTATTTAAATAAG